GACTCATCCACAACAGACAGCAGTGATTCTTCTGATGACAGCAGTAGCAGTAGTTCTCCCAGCTCCAGCAGCGGTGATAATAGCAGCAAATCTAGCAATTCAGAGGATTCAGACAGTGATAATGAACGGGAATCAAAGAAACAGAAGTCAAAGAAGCGCTGAGCTGATGCAAGACGAGCAAACATGAGAGCCACAAAACACGAGAATCGCACCACCTTACTTAGAGGATAATAACGGTGTCAGACATCCAGAGGCGTTTGAAGGAGCTGTTGACGTCATCATCCTCTGCTGTCCTCAGCAGATTTTGTTGGGTTGCCTGTTTAAGCAAATCTGAGTGGGCACTTCTACATGTATTTCAGTCAAATGTTTTGTGTTTGAAGGCATTTCTTCTCGGACGCTACTTTCTTCTTTTTAATGTACCATTTTTCCACAAACAGCAAAAGTTAAAGGATCCAATGATCCGAATCACTAGTGCGCGGTAGGCGCTCTTAAAAGTGGGCGGAAGTAGGCGAAAAAAATTTGCCTGAATCAAAGATCGGCGCGCACTAATGTTACCAAAAACTGCACGCGAACTTTTTTGAAACTGTGTACGCGAGTTGTGCGTGGGTGCGCATGAGCGCATGAGCGGTGCGCGCAGGTTTTTGAAACGGCACGCGCTGTTTCTGAGCGCCATGTGTGAGTTTTTTAGCAGCGCATTATGTTTTAATTTTGTTATTTCTTAAAGGAAGGAGGACCTAATATTTAACTCTCTTGAATTTTATTGAGAAATAGTGAAAGACAGTTTTCTTACAGATGCATTTTATTGTTCAATAAATATGTCATATCGTTTTGTTACCCATCGTACTTTGTCGTCTATGTCAACCTCCGATCTCTTTGTATTGACCCTACTGTTTGACGCTTCACATCAGCAATAATCGTTGGAGGGGCGAGCAGAGCAATGAAACGAGAACTTGCTACGAGCACTTGCTGCAACGCCACAGGACAAATATGCGCATTGCCTACATGTGGCTCCCTGGGAAGACATTTGATTTTGTCTCCCAACTCCCAAGACACCTTTCAGATGCCTTGTGGTCTCTGAATGCAAAACGCAGTTTGACCCTTTTTTTTTAAAACAAGGCATATTGTTGTCAAAAAATCAAAGCCCTACAACACCTTTTGATATGATTTCAGCAATTTACTCGGGCAGGCTCTATTTGGGGAAGAAATGTTTTTCATGCGTGAAATTTTCCTAGCTCGAAAATCGGGCATGCGAAGCTCTGGTGGCGGAGCTAGTCAGTCGGCTAGTCAGTCAGTTAAGTCAGTCGGTGGGATTAGCGTGCGCATGCCCTACATCTTAAGTGACGCACGCTCTATGGCCATTGTTACGTTTTCCCCTTAGATTTGTCTTAGAACCTGGACACTTTTTGCAGAACGTCTTTGACTTCTGAATTCATATCATGTCTTTGAATAATGATTCTATGGCTTCTTTGAAGGAGATGTGGAAGCAAAATTCCCCAGAACAATCACATGAAAACAGTTATGCAATGGAAAATCATCTTCAACAGAATGGAGAACACAATATTGAAGGACATAGCGAGGATTCTGACCACACCCATAGAGAAAAAGATCTTGCTGTTCACGATAAAATGACGGTAATAGAGCAAACTATCAAAACACTCGGTGGAGATCTAGAGGATGTAAAGAACTTGATGTTTAAGCTTCAGAAGATATTGAAAAGCGGAGACGAGGAGGACGAGTATGCCTTCGGTCGGAAACAGTGTTTTTCAGAAGAAAGCTCCTGTGAAGTGTCAGTCATTGAAGAAAAAGAGGGTAGAGACGTTGTTACGCGATTACAACAAGAAGATAACCCGACATGTTCCGAGTCTTTAAGAGAAAGTTCGGCTGAGTCATTAGAAAGCAGCAGTCAGTACTCTGGTCTTGTTGCGGATATCGAAGTTTTGAAAGACAAACTCGTTTCGCTCAAAAGAAATCTCTCGCAATAATCAAGTGCTGATGACTTCCATGTTCCATTTACTTCGACAGAACCGAAAGGCATCTTAGACGTTAAAAACACCTCAAATATAATAGTTGTGCTTAATGAGGATTGATCTGAATCATTAAAAACTGATTGTAAAAAGCCAGTTTTGTCTCTTAATATTAGCTGGTCCAAGAAACTTTTAATGAGTGTTAGGATTTCGCACCGCCACTCACGTTTCCCCACCGTAGCGACATCCTCGCTGTCTTCGGTTCTTGTCATGTTCTTAGGGAGTCAAAGCCTTTGTATCTTCGATGAGGAACTGATGAAAGGAATTTAAAAAACCAGGAACTAGAAAGGATGCCGCCGTAGGCTGCTCGCTTAGGGGAGTGGTAGGGGAAGAAGAAAAGATGACTGAGGGGGTGAGGTTTAATTGTGAGGTGTAATCGTACCTTTAAAAAAATGGCTCTTTTTTATTTGTTATCATATACAATAAAAAGAGTCCACTTTGCCCTAGGTCAGTACAGTGGTAGATCAGAGAAGACGGCAAAATGTGGTAACAGCTGCGCCTCTAGTGCCACTTATTTTTTCCTAGACACATCTTACCGTCACCTGTGATCTATCTTTGAACAGACGCACGGCATCATAAAATCTATTTTTAAATCTCTGGATCCTTGCTTCGCTTGTTTGATCGCGTAACGTTTTATAAATATTACGTAGAGGTTGACTGAGGAACAATTCCAAATTTAGTATGAAAAATGAAAATATGGATTTGGATCTTTCGTCACTCCATAGAACATTTCTTACCAAGATCTTTCACTCAAAAATGATGAAGCCAAATTTTTTAAATAGCAAGTTGGTTAGAGTTTAAATTTCATCTTCCTTGACTTGACAAGTACTCGTCGTCGAGGTTTGCGCTACTGAAATACCAAACATAAATAGAAACACGATATGATTGGCTCCTAATGTACCAAGTTGTCAATTATCATCAGATGTCGTGCGGGCCAATTTAGCCAAGATGGCGGATGCGGAGTTAACTGAAAGTAGAAATAACCTCTTGTCCGGTTGAACAAGCGCCTTATGGGTTTTTTTAAGCCGTTATCCAGCCATGAGTTTACTAAAGAGACTTGCGTCTTTGTCGCCGCTTCAATCGCCGAGTTCGGACACGGAAAAAAAGCAACCAGACGACGATTTTGTAGAGCTCGGCGCTCAGGATTTTTTGAGGCTTGTAGACGTACACTGGAATAATGCGAAGTCAATAATAGCGCTAGACGAGAAAACCATCGGCCATCAAGAGCGGTGTAATATTTTAGTCCACCATTTAAACGAAATTATAAATGTTTTAGTCGATGAAAAGGACGGTGACCCAGGTCCATGTTTACAATATGTGCTGGATGAAAATGTATTTCATACCGTGTACAACTGGAGTGCATCGAGCAAGAATTGTGTCAAGGACATGAAGCGAGAACAGCTGAGACTGTTTAGGAATCTCATCGAGAAGGGTAGAGCACCACTGTTGATTTATGAGCAGGTTTGGAAACCTCTCCTCTATCTATTGCATTCTTGCGTAAACAACATTTGCTCGGACGAGGAAGAACATTTTGTGGCAGTGCTGAAGGGCCTTTGCGTGAGTGTCAACCGGGATATTGCACTGTTAGATCTTTTTTTCTTGGATAATCACCATCACGCACAGATAGCCAAGCTATCTGTGTTTTCTCTGCTGATTCCTTATGTTCATCGGGATGGAAATGTTGGTGTTTGGGCTCGCGATGCCATGCTGTTATGCATGGCCTTATCATCAGTTGATTCCAGGCTGGGCAGGTATATTGCCGAAGATACAGACTTTTGTCCGGTTAGTGCTCCCTCGTCATCATATTTTTTGATGTTTTTATTTTCACTTTGTGTTTGAATTACAATATTTTTAATTTGTCGGCCCTTTGAGCGACGGCAGATTATGTTTTTTTTTAAATCACCTTCAAACTTTGGCGGGCCTTTTCTTGTTGCTATTTCGAATATGTCATGTTTGTTTATTTTAATTGACTTCGGCTTGAAGCAGTTTATCCTATGGTTTAAGAAATTTGCTGATAAGGGAGATCTGTTTTCGGTTTGATATGAGGCAACGATTACTTATTCACATTGTTCTCGGATACAGCGACTTCTTGCCTCTAGGTGTATGCAATACATGGTACATATGAAAATTGTTACGCCTTTTGTGTGGCTTGATGAGAACTTTCAAACGGTAACGCAAACTCGTAAAATCGTGTCCCTTAAGTTCATGTATGATCTCTCTTGATCCTGTGTAATTTTCGTTTGCGCTCGTTAATTATTCCTTGTGTGAAGCTGGATTTCGTGCCTTGCCGTTAAACCCTCTTGCAAGAACAATATATCGATCACTTGAAACCAGAAATGTGCTAAATTGAAATTTTATACTTCAAATATGGTGTTTCCCTAATCTATATACGCAAATGTACGGGTTTGACTTCGAATTTGACTGAGGGCTTTCGACAACTATTATTAGCTGGTGAAAAAATCTAGAAGAAATCAAGGTTGATTGGACAACAAATGAAGCAAATCAATGTTTTACCATCCTTTTCAAACTGGACATTGGACCAAGTGTTGTTAGTGTTTAAAGTACAATGTTCAGCGTTTCAGCCGCCATGGCTAGTATCCTTGAAATCATTAGCATGGTCATTGTAGTATTTCAAGACCGTTTTTGAATACTCAGACAGAATTTAGATGTAGACTGTATTCCTTGTCTAAGTTTCCCTCTTTAACATCTTAGGTATTGGCAACAGGACTCAGTGCCTTATATTCTGATTTGCCAACATCACTTGACATACCTTCAGAGGACTGGTACTCTTTGGAGAGAGGTCTGTGGGCAACTTTCCCTGAGCTGGTTTCCTTTCTGACATCACTTGAATTTTGTAACAATGTCATTCAGGTAAACACATGCACATGTGCATATCCTGTGTAGCTGGTGATGCATGAAAATGAAAGGTTGTCTTGTCTAACTCATTGATTTTTGTCATGCTGGTATGGTTACTTGAAGCCCCATAAGTGGACTTTCCTCAGAATTTAGAGAGGAAAATTAAAGAAGGAATATCTGTTAAAGGGGAGATATATCGAAAAATTGTAGAATGGTTTGTAGGCATCAGTCAAAGCTCATTCCTATTGTAGAAAGAGAAATTCCACCTTGCTCACTGGGGAGTCTCCTTGGCTCGGTGGTAGAGCATTGGAGTGCAGAATCTGAAGGACTGAGGTTTGATTCCTCATGGGGGCTCAGAATTTTTTCTTTGTCTCACACTTATGACAAGACAAAAAATACAAAAATAAAATCTTCCTTTATTTTATATTGATAATTGTTAAGAAGATAATTCAGTTTTTATTTCAATTATCTTTTGTAAAATACTTGCCTTCATATATGGTGGCCCATAGAGGACATGTCACAGACTGAACTGAACTTTTTTTTAAGTTTTGAACTTTCAACTCTCTGTTCAGATTGCCCATCCTCTAGTCCAGTCCAAGCTGCTGAATCTCATTTATCATGGATTTCTGGTGTCAGTAATGGCATCATCACTTGGCCAGGTAGGCTTTCAGTATTTCACTTCCAAGGGTGACCAATGGGTAAATTCTCCTCACCATACCAACTTGTTGTAAAGGAGGAAGGTGATGAAAATAAACAAAAATATCAGCTAGGAGATAGTATTTGATTGGAGACCAAATTCTCAGAGCTAATGTTAAAAGAAGTGTATGACAGATTGTAATGAGAATTGATAATGTGGATAATTTGTGGCAACTTTTCATCTTTGCAGTCATCTACTGAAGCATTGATAGCTGCTACATCCTATCTGGACTTGTTTCTACGCAGCATCACTGATGCCAATCTAATGAAAGTGTTTTTAGAGTTCATTTTGGTGGAAAGATGTGATGGAATGCCCATTCTTGACTTATTAGTTTCAAGGATTGCACATGAATCTCAGGTAAAGTTGATATTACCGCTCACATTTGGGTTAACATAATAACTACCCTAATGATTGGATTTAGCATTCTGATTTGGTTTTTGTTTTGTTTTTTAATAAGCACCCCTATACCAATAAGCATCCCTATTCTGTTAGGAGTACCTGTGCTTTGAGTTCAAACACGGTTCATATTTCTTTAATTGCATACTTTAAGACTCAGACATCCTTTTGGCTCATGTCAGTGCACAATTCCTTCAAATGAATGATCTCTTCTTCAATTTTTGCAACAATTGCTTGGCTGGTTGTTACGTCCAGAAAGGATCCAGGCACAACAAGTCTGTTTTCCAGTCTTCTTGATCCTTTTCAAATATACATCAAAACTTTTTTTGCACATTCTGCAGTTTCTAAAGAAGTGCCCCTCTTATAAGTGTCCTGTTTCAAAAAAATTACCCTCCCTCAAGGTACCAAAAGTAAATAAGCCCCTGGGCTCTTAAATCAAATCGTCACAGTACCCTTGAAATGTGGGGTGCAGCTATTCAAGAGTTTCAATAACTATTTCCACAAGTGTCTGCTGCTGCTGCTGAAGATGTAATAGGTGGCTGTGCCTAAAGGGGGCCTTAGGGTAAAACCCAAACATGACAACCTGCTTGATAGCTAAGCAAAGGCTAACTGGGCTTAAGGAATGTAACTAGCTTTTATTGATACCCCTCATAATCTGTCCTGCACTACAACAAAATATTTTTTCATTTTAATACAAATTAAAACCCTAAAAATGCTTTTTGAATACCTTAACATAGTCATCACAGTTCATTTGTGTTGTCTTCAGTACTTTGATGGATGTATTTATGTTTAAAATTCATTTTTTTAAATTCATTATCTTAGCTCGCTGTAGTATCACTGGGTTTGTTTTACACTCTGTTGGACCTGAACTGTGAAGATATCATATATAGTTTGGTGCTCAAGTGAGTTTCCATACCTTCTGTTAATAACATTAAATTAATTACAGGTACATAGTAGACTGGCAATGTTTTTACTTTGTCTTATATAGCTCAGGTTATCTCAAATGCCTTCTTCCCCATCAAGTTTTCAACCATCAGCTTCCCTGCTGCTGTATTAGCTGAGGGGGATGGGCAGGTGGGGAATATGAAAACCTGGGTGCTCTTTCTTGGGCATGAAAAGAGAATTTTTAATTCAAAAGAACACACTGAAGGAGACAAACTGGGTTGCTTTTTATAAATTCCACAGTTTAAAATGGTTTTGAGAATCACTTGTCCACCAAAGTCAAGTGACTGTTGCACTGAGTCCAGTTGTTCAAAAGGAGGGTAATGCTATCTGATGGATAAATTACTTTACAACAGATATGTGTTGACAGAACGTACTGCACAATCCGTCTGAAAGAGATTTATATCCTTTTGATAGCATTATCCATTGTATGAACAACTGTAGCTTGGACTCTGCATCCACTGATCTTTGGTCCAGTCCTTGCAAGATCTTTGTGTTGTGTTCTTGGGAGAGACACTTTATTCTTAGGGTGCCTGTCTCCACTCAGGAGTATGTATGGGTAGAGTTAAACTGTCAGGGAAAGCTGATAAGATGCTTGGAGGTAACCCAGGCTTCCCATTCAGGGGGAGTGGCAATACTCCTGGTGGGTTCGTGCTGTAGAAACCAGGCTTTGTCTGAATGTGCCACTTGGCTCAACTGCAGACTGTACCTTCCTTAGGTAAGGTACTTTACTTAGGGGAACCATTGAAAATGCCAGCAGGGTGGGGAGGGTAACAAGCAATGAACTAGCATCTCATCCCATGAAGTGACTTTGTATACCCGTACTCCCAGCCGCCTCATTCCGCAAAAAACCAGGATGCACATTTTCAGTTTTGGGCCTTTTGATGTCAAAGATCCTTAAACTGATTGGGTATCACTACATTACCTGAACCATACAACTGACTCCTTAACAGATATCTGATTCCTTGCACGCACATTCTGAGCAGCCAGAAAAGAACTATCAAGGAAGTGGATCTGTACAGCAAGAGCGCCTTTAAATTCTTATCGTTGATACCTTCCTGTTGTAATAACTCCAGCCGCAACTCATCGTCGTCTTCTTCCACTGAGAATCTCAACGGGAGCGCACCCACCCCACCCATGAAGATCGACCTCAAAGCATCCAGCGAATTGGTGTTTTACCGGTCTTCTTTTCTTGGAGATCTTTACTCGGAAGTTTGTGCAGATTACATGGAGTACCTTGCAGACGCGCGAAGTTTATTGAGAATTTGTCAAATGAAGTGCGCGTGCTGGTCCGCACCCTATGATGGACAAAACCCTGCCGTACAGGACCCCTCCTCGAAAGAACGAGAGCGGTCTTCATCTAACGTGTCCATGCCTGTTGCCAATGGCAACATTCCGAACCAGGTTTCACTTTCACCCCAGGATGCGCAAGCGCCTGCGAAGCGATCATTATCAGCGACTGAGTTTGAACAGAAGCAAATTAAGCCAGACTTGGGACCGTTTTTAATAACGCTGTTTCAAAAAGTTGAACGAATGCCGCAGAACACATTTTATGTGAACTTGATTTTGACTGGTGTGGTTACTAGACTGGCCTTATATCCTCAACCGCTATTACGATCGTTTCTTCTTAATTACAACATGGTTCTTAAACCAGGAGTTCGCTCACTATTTCAGGTAGGAGATGCTGCCTCTTTTATTTTAATGCGTTGTTTCCTTTTGTGTTCCAGGCGTTCATTAAGTTGCCCTGAAAAGTCATCATCTGTTTTCATCCAACTTCCGTGTCCTGCAAATTATATGTCAATGATACTAGACACAATAGCTTCTTTTTGGATAGAAATTATGCTCCCATATTTTTCCTTAGACACCATCTGTCCCTCAAAGCCTATTGTTTTCTTTGAGCTTCGCCCTTATGTCTGCGGATAAATATCCGAGTGTGTTTTCGCGCCAGTTGAAGCCTGTTTTCCATTTTTAACTCTGTTGCGATTTTAAGAAAGCATCGCGCCCGAAATTAAAACTATTTTTGTGTTGTATTTCACGTAGATCCTTAGTTCCGTGAAAATTAAAGTAGAGAACATTGCTGATCAAGTTGACGAACTCGACAAACTCCTGCGCCGGGCCAGAAAGAACCTAATTCTTCGCGAGGAAAAGAGTCGAGTCAGTATTCAGAGTGTTGTTGTGGACGTACAACAACCGGTGAAAATATCAAAAAACCCTGAAACCAGAAGCCCTACGACGACTCGAAAGCTGTTAAAACAGAAAACGGACTCTTCCTTACTGAGCAATGTCCGCATGCTCAAAGACGGCCCTGCGCCGAAATATTTTGGCAAAGGAAGTTCTAATCTTCGAAAACAATCGATAGACGCTTCCTTAAGCCCGAAATTGACAAAAGCCAACCAGGAAAGACGGGGAAGTTTAGAAAGTGCAAGCACCAGCTCAAGTTTGTCCTTAAGCGAGTCGTGGGAGAGCTTAAACTCTTTGAGCCCTAAGTACGGTAGCACCGCTGATTTAAGCGCTGAGAACTATCCCAAACCGGGTACCATTCGAAAACTTTCCAGTCCCCAAAACTCGCCGAAAAATTCCTTTAAGAAGAACACTTACAAGAGGAAAAATCCGAAGACTGTGAAAAACGCGGTCTACTGTATTGTGGTTTTGGAGGAGTGGCTGAAAGAACTAGCGGCAATTTCACAAGAACATGCTTTGGTGCTTGGTGTAGGTGAGGAGTTGAACACCGTTTCCCTGTGACCATGTAAGGGGTGAAAATTACCCCAGGGGTATTACATTCCCTGGGATTAGTAACCGTGTGAGTAACCAATCACTTTCCAGAACACGAGTCAATATTATGGTATCAATCATGCTCATGTGTAACAACTTTTGCGAGCTATTTTCTATTGCTTGTAGAGGAAAAAAAATATTGTGTCTGTAATTGTGCTGCTTTGTGGCACACGGTATAAAAATGAAAAAATGGACGAATTGTGAGCAGGAAGCACAGACTGAAACTCGAATTTCCTTTTCAACTTTTTTACGCATGCGCTACCACTATGGTGGTGGCAGACGATTTGGATTCTCGTGGAAAAAAAGAACTGTAAATTTTTTTGGTAGTAGGTTAACATGTTAAAATTATAAATTTTTTTATCGGTGGAAAGTTCTCCCTCTTTAATTAATGCATCCAGAGAGAAACTAAATGAAAATATTTTATTCGGTTATCGGTTGAAACGCTGTTGTATATGTAGGGTTTTTTTTTTCCTTCAAAATTCTCGGTTCGGACCGTCGGAACTTATAAATACAAATTCTACTTACCATACTTACCATTCCCAAGTGAATTGTAACCTGAAAAATCATCTTACTTAAAGATGTATCTTTTAAGGTTAATTTCATTCTCTACTCAATTTGTGAATTTCATATTTATCACTAGTTCGTCCGTGCTATCAAGGTAGAGCATTCTATTTTTGCAGGACAAGCATTCTGATGTCATTAATGCGCGATAGACCGGATTCCGACCGGAATCAAAATTTGGAATCCCAATTATATAGCTAAGGTACAATTTGATTTTGATTTTGAGTGAAAGGAGCACCTTGGTAGAATCGCTAGAAAACGTGATTTGACCGGAATAACTGTAATATATGAGGTATTTAAAGGTCGGTCGGGTCCTGTCAGTGGGCTCAGTGCGCAAGAACGAGGCCAGAGTTATTCACGTGTTAAGCATGTACGCATTATGGGTAATCAGTGAGGTCAGAGTACGAGAACGAAGCCAGAATTATTCAGGTGTATGGGATGCATGCTAGAAAGCGACATTAGAAATGTAATTTTTAAATAACACGTACCATCAAGGAAAATAATTTTAAATAAAAGTAAGCTGAGTTTTGTAAATCTGTACAAACGTCATGGAGTCACGAACAGCGATATTCGGTGTAAATACAAGTACACACCCTATGTCGAAGTCCTCTGATCATTTGTCTTATTAAGGCTCCTTACGCTCAACCATATTTGGCGCAGCAAGCTCGTTTCCAGACTCCACGCCATTTATTTCTCTCGGAAATGTAAAAGAAATGGAAGGGTTGATCATTGAATTATTCTTCTTGAATTGATAATTTTATTTTTGATAATGTAGAATACATTTTCGTGCAATATTAACTACTACAAGAAATTGAAGAATTATCTCTCGGTTCAAGAGGAGATTCAAATATACTTGCGCTCTATCAAAAATGTAGTTTTTCTTTTTTTTTACTTTTTTCACAGAAATTCTGTGTTCTCATGATATATTCTCCAGAAAAGATTCCCATACTTGGAAGTCAACTTCAATCGAAGGAAATCATCAGTAACTTGTCTATTAACTGGCAAATAAATTTATGCACACCATAACAGACAAATGTGCAAAAATTTCACTAACATCGTATGCCATAAAGTTTCACTAATGAATTAAACCTGGAACCCAATGAGAAGACTGACATGCCTTCATAACTTGCATTCAGTCAAAATAGTTTATACGAGGTGCTTCACAATAATCCATCTTTTTCTCTCTCTTTATTTTATTTTTTTTTTTTTTGAATGAACTGAAAACGATTACGATCAACCCCTTAGTGTCTTGATTTATAAAGGTAGAAAAGATTCAACTCATTCTGATTTAGGTGGTATAATTTCTAACGATGTATTTCTGGTTTTCACGTCAAAACCCCCTACATGCGCCATATAAAACTTTTCTTTTACTAATCTGTAGAATAATTTTGGTTATACCGCCAGCAAATGCGCGGCTACATATGTCGTGTACGTTAAATTATCAATTTTGATCACTCCCTTTTTACTTGGTTGTCAACTTTATATCAGTTAAATCGTGT